GAAATGCTTTGTATTTCAATTTTGAATCAGGGTTTAGATTTTTGTAAACCAAAAATGAATTGAAAATGGCACAATGTATAAGCCACAAGGCAACTTTCACTTTTATTATCTGTGGCCACAATTCTTTGTTCACTCCTGTCACTCCCACTGTCTGAGTCACTAATCACTACTACTCCACAAGGCAGTCAGATAGCTCATCGGAAAACAAGTCAGAGAGATCACTTTGTCTTCAGCTGCTTTTGTCCTTGAAACATATTCCCCTCTACTAACTTCCTGCCTGGTACATAAACAGCTGGAAGGGGCAAAGTTTATTTTCTTTTGGAGTAGAGACCCTAGCCAGTCAGGTCAAGTTACTGAATACCTAGCATACTTTCCGAAGATTTATTACGCAGTATTCATGTGTCGCCAGATCAAGGTATAGTGTGTTACAACCTAACATGTCCTAAAATCATGATATCATGCATCTGGTCCGCAAAGTGTTAAAATAGTGTTTGTTTGGAGCCAGTTGATAACATGACACTGTAATGTTTTCCACTGGTCTATACAGACTTCACTTATGTTCTCCCACAGTAAGCTATTTATAAACATCAACCCTAGCAGTGCCATTCTTAGCTTGAAATGATCAAGTTCCATTCAAATCTTGTCCATGAAATTTTTCTGTTATGTCATTCTCACTGGTTCAAGGTCTTGCCTGGATGGGGGTAGGCTGCCACCATTTTGAACACAGAGAGTGATCTGTAGGGCTTATTATGCTGATTGGAAAGTGACTGAAAGAAATACAATTTTGGGACATGTTTGTATTTGTAGGGGGAAAGGGAGGGGGCAAACATGTGATATGACTGGTTATGCTTGCATTATTATGTATACTTGGGAATGGACTGGCAAAATGCAACACAGATGGTAACTACACATCCATTAGTGAAAAACCTCGTGGAGAGAGTAGATGGAGTAGGCAGACATTACAAGGACAGTCTTCCCAACTTAGGTATTTTGCAGTCATCCAAGCAAATGCTGGAATAGTACCTCAGTTTACACCATGATCACTACTTCTGCATTCTTTTCAGTTATTCACTAATATTCCACAGCATATAGCGTGAACCACTGTCAGCATTGCTAAATAAATATATGCATGAGCAGGTGTATCATTCCATCTTGTAGCAAAGTAGAGCTGGATGTTTTTATCTTTGGTTCAGAATTTGTTGGAAATGAGTTCAAGGCAGCTTCATCATAAATCCACCCTGATCAGTAAGCCAAACCCATAGGCCAATGAAATGATTGGCCTAGAAGCCTTAGACACCGACCATTGGTGAGCTGAAGAATCATACTTGTGACATATCAGCCAAGGAGAAATGAATGGCTACCAGTTGTAGGTGCACAAAGTGCAAAATCAGCCTGTGGATATACCTGTGTTTTTATACTTGCCATGTGAAAGTGTAAACTTTCAAATCAGAATTCCTTCGGCATGAGAAGGAGAAAGTTTCCAAAATGTAGGTGTTTTGTGCATTAGGATGTAAGTACACAGTATTTTGTTTTATTTCAGAAATGTATAGATTTTTTTAGAAACAGTCTTATATAGTAAATAATACTATAGAATTTGGTAATGAATTTATTTTCATGTTTTTTACTGTATTTTAGGAGACATGGTTCCAAAGATATATTTTTTCAGTATTAATATTAGTTAAAAATTCCCAGTAAAGATGTGGCCACCATTGCCATATTGTAGGGGATTTAAATCCATTTCCCTTGTAATACAGGTCACCATCAGTTATTGATGATTTGGATTTTGTTAGCATATGTGATTTCAGTTCTTTGTCACTCTCTTGTTTTACATCAGCCATCAGCCATATCACTGATTTTACACATACTTCCATGGCAGGTTGTAGAAACATTTGCTTTTAGAAAATATTTAAGGGCTACCAACACAAATTTATTTCCATGTTATTGAACTTATGTGGATATCACAGCAGCAAGTTGCATCTCTAAGAATCTCACTTTGCTGATCATGTTATATACTCAGTTTATTACATCAGTCTGTATATTTATTTCATGTTTAACTTGATTATAGCAATTATTATCAGCAGGCATGATTTTTCATGTCAATTTCTGGGGCTCCTGATGAAGTAAACGCCAGTGAATACATTTCAGAAGACACTCCTATAGTAAGACATTAAGTTGTATAAAAATAGTTGTCAAAGATATGTGGAATCTCATAGGGAGTGTTAGGGTATGTGTAATTTTTGGGCTACACCAAACAGATATAGCCAGGTGTTCATTTTCATGGTGGTTAATTAAGTATTATACACCGCATCTACAAGGAACTGTTGCTGAACTCGTTTTTTATGAAATGTTAAACAGCTGAATTATTTTCTATAGTAAAAGTCAAACCTTAGTATCAGAGGCTGGTTATGCCAGTTCACTTTCCTCTTAAAGTCATAAACAGTGAAGCCTCTAACCTAAGTGAGTCAGAGAAATGTACCAAGAATGGTAGAGTACTCATTAAGCAATAGGAGTTGACTGCACTTGAACAATGTTAATTAGTTTTACACTCATATTTCCAGAAAATTTGTAATAGAAGTTGTGAGTATTACACACTTCTGAGTAGAGCAGGCCCTCTTTTGTTTCAGCAGGTTATGCAATGGCACTGTCAGTATCAAGACTATATAATATTGGTCCTCCCTTCTCAGGAATAACTGCTGTTGATATGTGTAACTGGGATCTAGTATTCTCCAAATCAATGTAACCTGTAAATGAAGGAGTCCAAACACTCATACAGTGAATGGATACTGTTGCATGGCCAGAGAGATCTAGATGTGCATTCTAATATTTTCTTGAATCTATACATATAAAAATTATTTGTGAGACACTTAATTTGGCTTTAGCTTCTTCAATATGGTGCAGATTTGTTGGGGATGGCTCTTCATTTTAAGATTTTCATTCAGTGTGGAGAATATCAGTAGATTATAGTGCATATACAAATGTGCAGCAGTTATGTTAACACAGTAAAATGTTAATAAAAATTACCTCTGAAGTGACATTAAAAAGTACTTTACTTTTGTTTGCCCTTTGAACAAATGGAAAAGTAAGCACTAATGTAATCTGCTGGTTAGATAAAAGTTTATTTTTTGTCTTTGTTTTTAATAATCTATCTCAATTTTTTGTTGCGTTTAGTCTTATATGTGCACTGCTCTGTCATTAAAGAATTAGTTTATTTTTTTAAGGTACTGGTTTGTATTCAATATGTGAATGCATTTATGAGTAAGGATTGTGTGTGTTTGTGTGCCTGTCTGTACAGATATTTTTTATCACCGTGAACTTGGAAACACTGTACGGATATTTGTCTTGACTTGTTTTCATGGATTAAAATTGTAATAATATAGATAATATAATTATTATTGCCACTCTGAAACATTTTTGATAATGCATCATAATCATATATTGACACAGATTTTTACTTCATCATCAGAAGATTACTTATGTTAGAACTAAAATCCCCATGCCAGAAATACTGTTAAACGCACAGGACAGACACACAGCACAAAGAAAAGAAACCAGTACACCAGACCCACAGCATATGTGCGCAATAAAAGTAACTACAGCATGATAATCTATTCTAATCTAATCAACTTGTTTGATTGATTGATGCTTATAAGGATTACATTTGTTTTGGCGAAGTTGGTGTTTTTGATCCTGTCAGAGGGTCCAAAATGGAACAAAGAGCAGTGATTAAGTTTTGTGTAAAATTAAAGAAACAGCTCCCAAAACGTTTCAAATGTTGAAAAAGTGTGTATGATGATGAATATTTATCGAGTACAAGTGTGTTTGAAGGTCATAAAAGGTTCAAAGAATCTCAGAAAGTGAGAATGCAAAAATCACGGGTGAAAAGAATGTTGACTGCATTTTTTATGCTAAAGGTACCACAAAATTGTGCCAGAAAAACAGACTGTAAATGGTAAATTTTATGAAGAGGTGATTAAGAGATTGATCGCCCAAATTCATTGCGTTAGGCCTGAGTTTCAGGAAAGTGGGTGCTGTTATCTTCTGCATTGTAATGCACCAGCTCAGTCTTCGGGAGTTTTCTCTGAGTTTTTGGTGAAATGAAGGAACCCCATGTTATCCCATCAACCCTATTCCCCTGATTTTGCACCGACTGACTTATTTTTATTTCCAAAATTAAAAACTGTAATGAAAGGGATGAGATTCAAGGCTGTTTCATTGCTCCAACAGACTGTTGAGAGAACTTAAGGCTGTATGGGAAGAAGCGTTTTCTAGGGCATTCAATTCATTGTATGAATGATGCAAACATGGTGCAGAATCGGGCAGGGACTATATTGAGTGATGGTATTAATAAATATTTTTTATCATTTTGTGTGTTTTTATGGCGTCAGGATGTTAATTCTCTCTCTCTCACACACACACACACACACACACACACACACAGGCATCGCACCCCCTCATGTAAAAGTATTGTTTAAAACCACAGTGTAAGTTCAAAAGATGGACATGTGTCACAGCAAGTGGCTCCATACCATCTGTTGTCCTTTTAATTAAAGACCCCCCTCCAAAAAAAGGCAAATTTGTCCCTGTGCTTAATTAATTAAGCACTATGACATGAAGACATTGGGAGGAGTGGGGCATAGCTCTGCCATTCTTGACCTCAATACTAGATGAAGGTGAGTGGTCAATTTCACACTCAAGCCTCTTTACATCCAGAGAAAGAAACCTCAGTACCCATTTGATAGGAGGCTGGGTGGTCCCTAGAGCCAGTCTGGATGCTGTGGAAAGAGAAGCCTCTTGCCCCTGCTAGGAACTGAACCCCATCCAGCCTGCAGCCTGTTGTTATACCAGCTGAGCTATCCCAATTCCCAATTGAAGATGCAAACGTATCTAAACAATTAGTCCTGTGTCTAGCTGTGTCATGACAGCTGTAAACAAATTTGGAAGGTTGTGTGGGGCCAGTTACTGTTCCCCAACCCCATTTTGAGATTTTTAAAAGGAACAAGAAATCAGCTATCAGGTGAAACCACATTCAGACTAAGTTTTAAAGCAGTGGTTGAAGAACACCATGAACAGAGGCTATCTCTTTTGGAGGAAAATTGCAAAACACCAGCTAGTTTTGTGTCAAGTAAAATATATAAAAAGCAATATTTTTTTATTCCCCCCCCCCCAGTAGAGAGTGCGTTCAAGTTTCAAGCCATTTTGTATACTGTATGATCAATTACGTATCACTGCAGCATAGATACATAAAGTTTCTTGGTCACAGCATTTCCAGTTCTTGCACCTCTATGTGGTAATCCAAAGGCTCTGAAAAATTTAACCTCCTTTTCATTTTTGTCTTTCTTTTTTAGATTAGAAAAATTTGGAGCATATTGAGGTAGGTAGCTTTAGTGACATTGGCTTCCAAAATAGTGCTTTTCAGACCTTTAAATTATGGAATGATATGGAGCTTAAGAATGTCTGCAGACTAGTTATTCTGCCCTAAGGACTTAAAAATATAATGAATGTTATAAGATAAAGGTGTCCCTGTGCTTAACTAATTAAGCACTACACCATGAAGGCATAAGGGGAGTGGATGTACTCATCCACTCATACTCATCAATCCACATTTTCTTGACCTCGGCACTAGTTGGACGTGAGTGGTCAGCTTCACTCCCTGGCTGCGTTACCCCTGAGGAAAGAGCCCCTGGTACCCATTGTATAGGAGATTGGGTGAACCCCAAAGCCAGTCTGGATGACATGAAGAATTGAAATTCTTGCCCCACCAGGACTCGAACTCCGACTCCTCCAGCCTGTAGTCAGTTGCTATACCAACTGAGCTATTCCAGCTCATATGAAAATTCTAATATTTTGTTAATTAACATTAGGGAGGAATGCATCAAAAAATTCAGCAGGTGGAAAGCACAGTGCTGTATTATGGATAATTAAATTAAAGTTAAAATGGTATTTTCATAATTTCAGAGAAGTTGAAAAATATCTTTAATGATATACTTACAACAAACTTCATACTACTGTATGACATCAGCGGTAAAATGTAAAAAGTTACAAACCCCATTGACATATTTGGATGCTTTTATTATATCAAATTCTTTCATCTTAAGTATTAAAACTTATTACTATTAATATGCTGTTTATGGCTGTATTCTTCTCAAGCATGGCGATGTATCTTGCTAATGGCAAAGTGCAACATATCTTCAACATTATAGTCCGTTATTCTGCACATTTTAAGCTGATCATCATGGAAAATCCTTGTTCACTCACAGATGTGTATCCAGAATGCAAGAGACCCGTATGTGATATTTGTGTTCCTTGTATGTCCTCAACCAGTTTTTATGCATGAAATGAAATAATCTTGCACCATTTTTCAGTTTTAAACATAATGTGAAAATAATGTTCTACTAGCTAATACATTGAAGTCCTCTGTTTATTGTTTTTTGATTAAGGTTTTTCCTCATTTAACATTCCATTTCAGTTATCCCAAATCCTAATTATGGTATTAAATTACTTCCATTAAAGAGTTTCCTCAGTTTTATGTTCAGATCTACCGTTCTGAAGAGAAGCATTGCATGAGGGTTTCACTCTACTTTGGGAACTGGTTAGAAAAGTTTGCAATCTATAATTTCCAAAATACTTGCAAAAAAAATGTTCTTGAGTTAACACTTGCTTGATCATCATTTTCATCACACTTGATGCCAGGGTGCTCCTGTTCATTGAAGGCATCCTTGTTCAGACTAAAGAACACAATCTGCCCTGAGTCATCACAGATATTCTTACATGTTATGTTATGTGTCAGAAAGGACTGAACATCAGTGGAATATCTGTTGCATCTGGATGGCAACTACATTGTAACTATATCAATTTTTGTGTTTTCATGACAAAGTCGAAGACCATTTTGTTGTGTTTGTCTAGAATTGACAATTAAATAATGGGATCATTGAATGTGTTGTGGTGTTGCCATGTTTTTCACTCTATAACAGGTACTTGAAGTAATATTAAAACCCCTCACCATTCTCTGAAGTGGCCAGAAGTGGGGTAGAGTTTAAAGTAGCACCATGCATAGTCCAACCCATGGGGGACATGTGGCCCTTGACCAAGTTTCAGAATTAAGTTATTGTGTTTAATATAAATTTATATATATTGAATATATATTTTCTGTAATTAAAGAATAATAAAGTTTTCGGAAGAAGAATATGTGAAGTGCATATACAGAACCACAGAATTGCTGTGGCAATTTCAGAAAATACTTGATAACATCCAAATACATTCTGAAACAGCAGACATTGCTCCCCACAATTCAGCAACAATGTAGGCAGGATTTCTAAGACATTTGAAGTGGAATTAATTGACCTTCAGTCCAACACAATGATTAGAAAAATAATTGTTATATTATCACAAGTGAAGTCCATAAAACCTGTCTGCCAAAGGAAGAATACTCACAGCTTATCTCTCATTCTAACAAAATGATTGCCATATTTGATAGTACTTACACATATGGACAGCTTCTCTAAAAATTGAATACTACAGAAATATTTCTGCTTGTCTTTGAGATGCTGTCTGTGTAGCACATCATATATGGAAGTAGACATTTACTCAGTGGCACAAATTATGAGTGAAGTTCATTCCTTCCACTGAAATGCAAAATAGTGGATAATGTTTGATTGGAGGTTCTCACAGTCATGTGTATTCAAGTTGTGTTATGGGTTGTGATGCTACATTGTCTTGTAAGTGGATACCAGACAAGTAAATAGTTACATAGGGGACAATGGAAAGGAACATTCAGGCTCTTCTCACTGTTCCCGAGTCATGGCATCAGATTGAGTGTTTCTTAAAAACTTTGTCAGAATTCCATACAAAAGCAGTCTGTTCCACTGACATTTCACCGTTCTAGCACTGACAGCAGTAGCACAAAAAATGATACAAGGACATAACTTGTCTCAAGGGGGTTGGCTGCACTATCATGACCCCTTTTTTCATGGCTCATGTCATCAGCCACATTGAACCACACGGGGCGACCACTTAAGGGCTGGACTGGACGGAAGTTGTGTGTCATCAAGCCTTCTCTTGATTTTAGTTTACGGAAAGCTTCAACCTGAAATAAGAAAGTAGATCGCTAGTGCATGTTCGCCTTTCAGTGTGTAAATAACTTTTGTACTACTAAACTAACTAACTTCATGGAGCTAAGCCCGTTTTGAGAAGCCACCAATTGTGCAGCTATTCAAGAACTTTGCAGAATTTTATGGAATCCAAAGGTTCATTACTGTGTTCACAAGAGCCCTCCACTAGTCCATATCCTTAGCTAGATCAATCCGGTCCATACCACCCCATTCTCTCCATTTTAATAGTATCCACCCACTTACATCTTTGTTTTCCTAGTGATCTCTTTCCTTGTGGCTTTCCCACCAATATCCTATATTCATTCCTCCTCAACCCCATTCATGCTACATGTCCAGCCCATTTCATCCTCCTTGACTTGATCATTCTAATTATACATTGCAAAGATCACAAGTTATGAAGCTCCTCATTGTGCAGTTTTCTCCAACCTCCCATCATTTCATTCATTTTTTTTTAGCTTAGATTGTCTATCCAGATAATCCGCCCAGGTCTGAGGCCCTTTGTGACATTTCCTAACAAGCTTATATTTTAGGTGAGAAGTTACTAGCCCCATGCCCAACCCCAAGCTGGATGAGCACCCCTTGTCAGCTGTCCGTGACTGCTTATTCAGAAAAATACTTCATATATATTGTGGATAATGCCTTTAGTTATTCTGTTACTGGCATTTCTGGCCTCTGCCTCTCCTAGCAATGGTGAGATAGATTCCACTCTTCATGATGCCAGGAAGGTGATTGAGATGAGAACTATAGTTTCACATGGACTCAGACACATTCCTCCACATTCGGAAAGCTTTACATCTGTCAGAAGTGAAAGAAGGAAAAGCCTCACAAAAAAACTTGTATTGTCATGACAGAAACCTATTATCCCTGGAACACAAAGTAGAGCACCTTATCTATATACCACTGAATCACTTACTCATATATTAAATTAGATTACATGTTTTATCTAGGAAGACTGAATCACAGAATTGAGACGAGACCATTTCTGCTCTAAAGATGGATGCATCAGGTTCCTCTGGAATTTTTTATAAACACCTATATGACTACATGGTGGCACTCTTAAATGTCTGAATATGTTTCTTAGTGTTTTCATTTCCTAGCTGTGTACTGAAGATATTTCTTTTCAGAGTGAGAGTAATTAGAGTTTAGGTACACAAATACTGATTGTCCTCTGATTTTGCAGAAAGGCAGATCTGAAATTGAACTCACACTCATCTAAGGCTCTGGTTGCTTCACTTAGTATATCTGTTTTCACATGATACCTAATGGTAGCACATGGCTGTACTGGTCCACAGAGAATCGGAATGACTGGCCGCAGGATATTACTGACCTGGTAGTGAGACAGTAGAATGGGTTGCTTGAATTCAATCCAGGTGACTACTTCCAGGCAGGGCGGTGTGGTGAGTGAACCATTGTACGTGAAGTAGAGATGCTTTGTCATTGGCAGCAGTGAGTCCAGTGTGATCAGCTTTTTGAGCTGGTGTTGTGAGTTGGGCATTGTCACAAATGGCAGCAGCTGCACAATCTCTGAGTACACTTGGTTCTCTGTCTCATATATCTGCAAGCAGAAAGCAGTCTAGCAAATGATATTATAACATCTGTCCTTAAGGAAGTAAGACTTAGTACAGGGACTGGAGAAGACTACACACTTCATCAGTTCATATACTTCACTGATCTAGTACTCTTTAGAGTTTACTATTAAAATAAGAAGGTTCTGATTGGCTGGATATGTTACTTGACAGGAATAAATGAGAAGTACACAGAAGTTTGATGGGATACCTCGTGCAGTATGGCCAGTTGTAAGGCTGAGGTGATGACTGCCTCAAAGTTTTAAGTAAGTAATGAGTTAGTTTCTTAGCTACTTTGTTATAAATAATTTAGTCACGAGATCACTAAAAACTTATGTCAGTTAAGGAAAAGTGTACATGGTGTATCCTTTAGCATTAACTTTGTTTTGATAACTGTGTGACATATGGCACGTGACAGTGTGAAATGTTGCTGAATAAACAAATGTAGACAGCTACTACTGTAACAAATTTCTGGTAATGACACATTAAATTGGTTGTAACTGTCAGGAATTCATTGCAGGAAAACAGATATCTATATTTCAGCTGGTCACATATGGGAAATCCTAGTATATGGAAAATGGGGATGAGAAAACAAAGAATACTTACTAGGCATATTGACAGCGACATGAGACAGTTCATCCATCAGCCTTTTTTGTTATAGAAAAATGAAGAGATAGAAGACAAAATGGGAAACATTTTCCAACAAGAAAACTTACTCACCCTCCAATAAAATAACTGAAAAATCCAACACCGAAGTCCACTACTTGGCCTAATTATGAGACAGTTTAATCCATTATCATAAGCTTTTTCCTATGATCTGTTTTTATTTTATTCTCTTAGCTCTTGGTCATCAAGAAACGAAATTTCAGGAGTGTTTCCTTCAGGCATAAACACATAATATAGAATCATGACATACCTGCTTTGGGAAGCAGCTGACCTGATTGGTTTGTGTTCTTACAGGTGATGAAGCAAACAGACTACAACTGCTTCTCCAGTGCTTCATGTTATATAAGCTCTTCATGTGATGTATTGTAATTGAATAAAGTGCGGATTCATCAGAGTTCATTGCATACATCACCAAATACTTTTAGGGTGAGCAAATGCATATACAATTTTGGTTGGAAAATTCAAGGGGTGAACACCTTTTAGAGAGCAATGAATGTGGAAGTATATAACCGAAATAGGTCTTAGAGAGTCATTGTATGAAGATGTAAGTTAGAGGGGACTGAACTGACAGTAAACCCAGTGATAAAACTTCAGCTTCCATAACTGTGCACTATGTAAGCACAATACCATGAAGTTAGTAATTTCTTAATGTTGTTTGTTTGATTATTATGAATCTGAAAGCATTTCCCAGGATGTACCAAAACAAATTTATCTTGTATGGTTGAGTGTGATTCTCACCTCATAGAAGACAGCAAGCACTGTGAGACCATCTTTGTAATGTGTGGCATTTTCAAAGGTCCCATAGTTCTCCTTGTACATGACTATGTGCAGCTCCAGTGGAAACCTGACAAACAATATGAATTTTAGTCATTCACTTCAAACTGTTACACTGGTTCCTTTGCGTGCGCCTCTTGATGTATTTATTTGTATATAGTTTATTTAACAATGGTGTCAGCAACACAGATTGTATGTCACAGAACAATTTAATGACAGCAAATAATGAAATGGAAAGGATGTGAAGGGAAGCAATCATGGCATCAGCATACACATTTTTGTCTAGATTTGTGGATTCACATGCAGAAGAGTAAATATTGTAATTAGAATTTGAAACAACCATGGACATATAGGTACCAAAGGGTTCTGACAGTGGTGTATAACAATCAGAATTATGGACCCACATCTGATAATATTTGGATAGGTATATACATGAAGTAATTATCATGGAACATGAATTTGTTTGAAATTTACTTTCTTTTCAGAACAGGCATCTAGAATATGTCCATAAAATATTCATCAAAATTATGTCCAAGACCTCAAATCTAACATCAATGGACAAACCTTCATGGATACAGCCATATGTAAAGTCTGTTAAAAACTTCTTTACTGATGTGGTCAACACTGTTACATCTTGGGCCTAAAATTATCTCATTAATGCTGTATGTAGAATAAATTACATACAGATTCATTCCAAGAATTTCCTGAAATAGTGATATACTGTTCATAAATATGACATGAGTATTGTAATTGGTTGAGGCACTATGCTACAAGCTGGAAGGTCACAGATTCAATTCCTGATAAGGTCATTGGATTTTTCAGTTGACCTAATCCTTCCAGCAGCAGCAGTAAGGCCCTGGGGTCGACTCAGCTTCTAACAAAAGTAAGTACCAGGAATCTTCCTGAGGGTAAAGGGTAGCTGGTGTATAAGGCTAACAACCTCACTGCCATCTGTGATCCGATTATCTAGAAAATGTGGGAGCCTTGACATCTCACAACACTATGGGCCTCCACAGCCTGTTACAGGGATAGCTTTACTTTACCTTTTTGCTGCACATAAATTGTTCTGCAAAGGTAATTATGCTGTTGCCTAAATATACATGAATTATATCACCATTTATCAGTACAGACCACTTGAACCTTACTGTCTCACCTTAATTTTATTGTGACTTGTATGTGTGTTTTTAAAGCAAGGAATGGCTTTCTTTCAAATTAGCTGTAAAAAAATCATTTTCCCATAAATTTCAACCAGTCATTTTGTAGTATTTTTCGAATTTTTGTCGAATCAATTCAAGATGGATTATAGTTCACTGATTTACATCTGGAGACATGGGCTAAGAGAGATGTGAACTAGTTACATACTGTATGCATAGTTGCATACCATACTGTAATGGTGAAATTTGTATTATTAAGAAATTAACAAAGGATATTTCCAAAACCAGGAAATCAGACATAATTTGAAACCATAAAAGCAAGAAGAGATAGGATATTTGGGTTTGTATGTGTGTTACATTTTGGTATAAGAGGGTTTCTTTGAGTGTCAGAAATGAAGGCCAAATAAAATAACTGCTGGTGAAACCTGAGAAAAGCTGGAGAAACCTATTCAGAAAAGATAAACAAAATATAATGGACCCAGACACAAGAAAAGTGCCTATAAAAACATAGAAGAATGGAAGAGGAAAGTATTGTCGGGAAATATCACTTGATGGTTTATAATTCACATCTATAAATTTGTCTCTGAGTTGGTCATAACTGAACCTTAAACACTGCATTCATTGGTCAAACAAATCAATCCAAATATTTCCTTCTTAATATATTTCTGAATATCATCTCTTTATGTCATTCATTTTTCAGTTGTGCACAATAATTTTCAAGGATACCAAAAGTGGTGAGATAGGTTGTTGATCATCCTTCTCATTACCTACGTAATAGTCCAGTGCTAAAACCTGAAACATTTCTGGCATTTATGCAAAATATGTACATTTTATTTACTTTTTATACTACGTGTGATCTCCAAAAACATTTTTGTTATAAAGATTTAATAGAAGTTGCCCTGCCCCACTAGTTATTGAAAAGTAATGTACATGGTCACCTCTGTATCATGTGTAGATCATAAGTTCTAAAATCAATTAAGTACATAATTAGGTGGCCTGCATGATTATTCAACCTCTGAAAAATCCTGGAAATATTAAACTGTTAGTCTGAATATGAAATAAAAATCATTATGCTGTAGTGACAAAAACTACTGTGTGAAAAGAAAAAGCCTTTGATGATTACTTTTAGATATTGATGGTTAAACTCTGTCAAAATAACCATAAAATTTATATCAACACCTGAAGAGATATGCATGTTGTGTAACAAAGTGTCTGTCAGCAGTATCCTATAGTTGGTCCCATACCGAATGTTCATGAGAAGTTATTTCATCTTGAATAATGCATGTCTGGTGCATATGAGAGAAGGAAAAAAACAAGAACAATGCACACACAATTCCTAGGCATGTTAGGGACAGCTAAGTAGAATAGAAATTACATGGTGGCAGTGCTGAGTTCTTTCATTTATTTTTTCATTTTGTGCTGCCCTGAAGGCTTGACTCAGTATACTGTACACAGATGAAAATGAGAAGATTGGAATATTCAGGTTTACACAAGATGGCCACACAAGATTTATTAAAATAAAATTACAACCTTACAATAAATTAAAATGCATTATTAATGAAAAGTATTGGAAAACGAATATTATCTGTTGGATCTGAGGTTCTCATAGTGGCGACTACAAAAGGAACTAGCTTCTGGGATGTAAAGCCACTAGTGTTTCAGAGAACCGTAAATGATAAAGTTATCCTTGGGCATAATTAATTTGAGCACTATGTCATGAAAACATATGGTGACATTATCTGGAGGTGAGTGGTCAACTTGACGCCAAGGCCGCTTTACTCCTGGGGAAAGGACCCCTGGAATCCATTAGAAAGGAGGCTGGGTGTGCTCCAAAGCCAGTCTGGACGATGTGAACACGAGAAAAATCTCCTCCCCCTGCCAAGAATCGAACCCCGATTCCTCAGTTGTCCACCATATAGTCTAGCCAATATATAGGTTGAGCTATCCCAGTTATTTCAGAGAATGTACTGTTTTCATCATTATGACCCAAGAATAAGCCAAGCAAGAAGCAGGAAGGTTTCACCCACTGTGTGCTTCTTGCTGGTTTCTTGCTTGGCTTACTGCTCACCTCTGAAGACGGATGTAATACTATCCTCCGATACGTCGATGAATTTCTACCTGACTACGTGGCTTTACATCCCATAAAGTTGCATTCTTCATATATTATTGGAAATATAAAATAAAAATGTGTAACACAGCATAATTATCTTCAAAACATCCTGGACACTGAACAAAAGGGACACTAAAAGACTGGAAACAACACAAACAAGGTTTCCACGAACCTTACTATATATCATACTGTATACCAGATCATCAATGAAATATAGGCGTCAGAAAAAATTACTAGTCTCAAATATTATTAGTGAAGTGATATTATATTTGAGCATCCTGTTGCACAGGTAGTTTCAAAGGTGCAACTTCTTGTCTTGCTCTTGCACCATTCGTCTCCTACTTTGTCGTTCTTTAAAATAAATGTTACTTCTATGACAGGTTTCGACCTTATAAGGTCATCATCAAGTTTATTATTTTATGTAATTGTTGCACTCTGTTGCTTTTACTAATTCAGTGCGGTAAATTCTGGTTAAAACTAGTTTCAGATTTTGTTGAATTTTGTTAAAATGAGCTAAAACTTGTTCACTTTTCAATTGATATCCCATGTTTTCGGCATTCTAGGACTTCTTTGGTTGCGTGTGGAGTCTTGTTATAGTGAAGAGTACTGGTGAAATTTAAGACAATAAAACCGCTGGCTACAACCCATAGGCTCCGCTGAAAAACAAAGAATTCTGAGCAGAACTCGTATAGCGTACTTTCCTGTAGCATAGATTTCTAACACTACAGATTTGTTACTATTATTGTTGCTATTTTACTTTAATTATGTGAAGAATTCTACTTGTCTATATTTTGTCTGCATTCAGCATGTTTGGTATAACTTGGGGGTTCCGAACTGTTGTCATGTCTGTAGTTATTGAGTCACAAAGAATATTTCATATATACTGTGCACGGAGCCTGTTTTTATGACGTGGTTCCAGTGTTTCATTACCTATTGCCATTCAACCGAAAGATAGAAAATATTCACAGGCCATCTATATTGTTATTTTACATTCTGTAAAGAACCGCCCGAATACAAGTCGCAGATATTTCGAACATCAATTGCCATTTTTTTCAGGACTCTAAATTGTGGCCTCTCGTTTTCTTCCTAGCAAACCGCGCCCCCTCCCCCACGTGCTGTTTATTGCTGACTTAAGATATAAAAAAAACTATGTTGATGTGGCATAACGTCGATACCATATTTCGTGAAAATCTATCAATTGTTGAGGAACACTGACACGCAGAGATGCTATAGTGATCTCATGGCTATTTTGTTCCTTTAAAGGATGAGACTATAATAATGAAAGCATACAAACACCAAAGCAGGCACAGGAATAGAGCCCAGTGCAGTGGAAATATTCTGGATACCAGAAGCAAGAGATCAAGTACATCTAGAGGGTTTACGAATCGTCAGTTAAGCATAATCCTGAATACTTGATGATGATGATGATGATGATGATGAAGAAGAAGAAGATGATGATGATGATGATGATGATGAAGGCATTACTAAAATATTTCATTCTGTTGAGTAAGCACAGTTGCCACAAATAGTGTACCGTGAATAACAAGGGACCTTCAGTGCAATGAACTGAGTCAGACTGTTCCAGTGTGGACAATAGTTGGACATGCTTCAGCGAATAATTCCAGAGACTGAAGTGTTAACCTGTTTGTTTGTTTTTTTTTCTCCAGAATTACTCACAGATTGACTAAGTTTGGAACAGGATAATTACAATAAAATTTGTCACGCGAATTTCGTTCTTGCCTTGCTATGTGTTATAACCTTTATTGCATATGAAGTTCAAATCAGACTTCATCTCCTTGCCGAAAAAGAAGATAGCATTGTAAAAAGGTAAAAAAAAAAAANCTATTCCCTCTTCTCACTCACTACATGTTTCGGCACAAATGTGCCATCTTCAGGTGCTAATCCAATTCACGACAAACTAGTTCATTGCATGCCTTGTCTATACATACTAAAATAACACATACATACCCAGCAGGTCCAGCAGTATAACACACGCAGTCACAGGAGCGAGACGCAACACAGAGCACAATACACGATAGTGAAAGAGTGC